GAGCCATGTGGACTTTTGGGTGGCAGCACAATGATGTCATTACCAATAGAATTCTCACGTTTGTCACATCAACGTGGACATAATTTGAGGGTTGGCCTCAAGTAGAATAGTTGAGATCATCGCAATCCACCAGTGATAGGTGGAGCTTATCAACGTATTCCACCAGTGATAGGTGGAGCTTATCAACGTATTCCATCAGCGATAGGTGGAGCTTATCAACGTATTTCACCAGTGATAGGTGGAGATTATCAACGTATTCCACAAGTGACAGTGCAGCTTATCAACGTATTCCACCAGTGACAGTGGAGCTCAAACTAAATAAGGTAAGGCGAACCATATTAATTTTTAGTGTACTAATTAACAACAGTTTTTTAAAACTAAATTAACCCCCTGCCTACCGCTAACTATCCCAATGTCTACCACGAACTCTTGCCTGCCACTAACTATCCCAATGTCTACCACTAACTCTTGCCTGCCACTAACTATTCCAATGTCTACCACTAACTCTTGCCTACCACTAACTATCCCAATATCTACCACTAACTCTTGCCTACCACTAACTATACCAATGTCTACCACTAACTCTTGCCTACCTTTAACTATCCCAAATGTCTACCACTAACTCTTGCCTACCACCAACAACTCGCCCCATGCCTATAGATGCGGTAAAATGAACACGTTATAGCCGGGATTAATGAGGTACGTACCCATGTCTGCGTAGTCCTGAACTAAAGGATCTTGACATAATACTTAGAGATGTTTGAAATGAAATATTCTAGTAAGTAGTTTGTGAGTCGTTTAGTTTTGAGAGTTGTTAAGCATTTGCCAATGTTAATTGTTTGTCTAGCTAAGACTGGCCATCGTTTCCTGGCCATCATTTCCTGCAGGCGTCGGGCCCGCCACATCACCCGGTAACTTAGAATAACGTTATTTCATTGGTCTAGACGTCACTTCCGACCGACATTGTCAACGGGTTACGCTGTTCCAGTAATACCTGGGAAGGGGGTTGCGGGGGGGGGGGGG